CTTACAGACTGTTTTAAATATTTTTGCATATTTGGACACATGCTTGCTGAAGGCTTCACTAGTATCAAATGGTTTCATACCATATAGCTCAAATAACCTTTCCCTACTTCTACGAATACCTGGGGTAGCCCAGTCACAGAATACAAATTTACACTCAATAGTTTTTCTTTTTAAGGGGAATATTTTTTCCTCTCCTAGAATTCACGTCGGCGAAGCTCGAAAACAAATTAATTGGTCGTTCTTTGGAATGGTGTTAATCCTCGGTTCCTACGCGCCCACTATAAAGAACGACGACGATTTGGTGTTGTAGCTGCCGAACGCGGAGAGGCTGACGCCTGCAGTCTAGACCTTCTTGCCGGAGAAGTTCGCGGTGAAGAAGGAAAGAGAGAGGCGTGCTAGGATAGTGGCGTAGCTGTCTGTCGAGCTGGCGCCAAAGTTGTCCGTGGTGGGCTAAGTGCTATGTATTTAGCTGAAAAGATTATATTTTTATCATTACTTTATTATATTCAATCGAATTATTCTTTCAGTTGCCTAAAGAAACCATTGGTTACTTTCATAATATTTATGGAATATTGATATGGTTGGAAACAAATAAAATTATTATTTCCAGTCAACTTACTGTTTTGACTTTCTCTCTCTTTCTGCTAATAGCATCTTACTAGTACTGCCTACTGCCTGAATCAAGTGCAAGTCATTTGATGGTCTGAAATAAAATAATTTGTTATTATTTGTATTTCTGAATTTTGCTTTATGTTTACCATATGACTACCTTTCTTCATCACATGAAACATAGTTCAATTAATACGTAATAAATATCAATTTAAATTTATGACCTGAGCCTGACAAGCTTTACAATATAAGATACGAAAGATACATGCCAGCTTGGCCTGCCACAGCAGACACTCCAATAACTGCAACCACTCTCTCTTCTAATGCAGTTAAAGAGACCCTGCTGCTACTAGGCCCACCACCACCAGAAGAGTGTTCCCTTATTTTGAAATATTTCTTTATAGGTTTTGTATTCCAGTCTGCTCACACCTAAAAATCGCAATTAACAAAACATTGTGTCAAAACTTTATTATTCAAATACTGAGGTCTTCATTATTGAAATCGCTAACGAGGTCTCTGATATTATTTTTAATTCATGCCATTTCCCAGTTATCTACTGATTTTCGAATACTACGGTACCACGAATTTAACATACTTGACAAATCCTGCCACAGCTGATATCCCTTTAACCGACCTTGAACACTCGTCTAGGGTTTCGAGATTGATACGAAATAACTTTCCATAAAATCTATAAGTATTAAGAATTGCTCTGGAATAGCTCGAAACCTCGGTTCTATGTAAAAAAATATATTATTCCTAGTAGTAACCATTTCAACAAGAATATTAAACACACAAATTTGTGTTTAATATTCTTACTTTTAATTTAATTACTTTAGTTATGTATATACATAATTAAAGTAATTTAATTTAGATTATCACATCATACTTATTTACGGTACTCACCGTCTTAAAATCGCTATTTCATGTATAATTTTATTTAAAAACTTCATGAACTCATCACTTCACAACTTAAAAATATTCTAGTTTTGCGGCGACTCATTGTCAAACTGACATTAGCGTACGACAAACCATAAAGAACAATTGATGTTTTTTCTAACATATGAATAGAATGAGCGTTCGACAAGTGGTTGTACACTTGGCTACCAATCGAAAAACGCTAACGCCCAAGCGTTCATTTTCAGTAGAATAGAAACGACTCCGAGTGTTTGCCACTTGTCTAGGCCCTCTGATTTATATCCAAAACTTGAATACTATAAACTCTATTATATTAATACTTAAATACTCACTTTTATCCTGATTCGCCCTTTACACATTTTTCCTCTGTGACTACACTCCTCTCATTGAAAGACCAGTATTGTATGGCTTTTTCTTATAATATTGATGTCCTACTCGAAGCAGAATGTTTCCAGCTCCTCTTTGTATTATCACAAAAGACGATTTCCTCGAACTTCAATATGCACTATTTCCAGACATTATTTTTAGTATTTCAACAACAGTGCGTAATGCAACGGGCGGAAGTAATGAAGTTTATACTAGTACAACCAGAGGGGGGACACTGCCCTACATCCACCAATATCGCAAAGATAGAGGTGCCATCTTATATTTGTAACTAAGAAATACTCAATGTCTTCTTAAGTCACTACATATCACAATAGATGTCACTGTCCTGGTGCTGCAGATCTAAAAAACTGCTTCAATAATGGGTATAAATAACTAGTCATGTGAATTTAAATAACGCTTATAAATATATTTAAAGTGTATCAATTAAATAATAACTTTTATTTATAGTTTAATAAGTGGCTGCTACTATATTTTTTGGATGATAGTCGTTAATAATTTTAACGCATTAGGGAATTCATTACATGAGAGCATTGTAACACCAGTCTTTTAAATTTTGATGTTGACAGATCGCACGATGTTTGTTAATTTGAATTAGTTTTGTCTTTTTTAATTCCGGAGCCCATCCTGGTAATTAAATCCTATCTATTCAACTGTAAAATATTTTGGCTGTATGGGTTTAAGGGTCAGTTTATTGCCTGGAATTAAAAACAGGCTAAGTCAAAATCTATGTATAAAATATAAATATGGTGATACGTATACTATAGGTAAGTATGAATATAGTATGCATTCGTTTCTGGTTACAAAATCCAGAGGGCGATTTAAATTTGTATGCCAAAAAAATACGAAAGAGGGCTCTTTTCTACTCCTTTATTACTTTACTCTTTGAGTACAACTATAAACGTCAATTTACAAAATATGTTTCTACCTACATTTTGAAAAAATACTTTTGTTTGTTTGAAACACAAAATAAAATTAAGAAAACGTTTGGTGTTAATAATAATATGTGATGTACCTATTAAAGGAAACATAATGTTGATTTTTTGTTATAAGAAATAAAAAACCTAAAATCTATGGTGAGTACATATTTTTTTCTTTTGAAGGAACAAGGAACCGTATCTCATGTCACCCTCCGGTGGCAACTGAGAAACCGACTTCCTATTTGCCCCCTCTAGTCAGTTTTTAAAGGGAACAGTAGGCACAAATTGTCACCCCGGATAACTGGGAAGACAATTCCCAGCTGTCACCCCGGAGGAGAGCGTTAGAGGGGACTATTTCAAATAATACCCTGTCTCACTCCACATTCCAACTTAATCATATCCGACAATACATCCCCCCATCTAACAAAGTGGTTTTGATTATAAAACTGCTAACTCCCTAGCTAAGTGGTCTACCAGCATATTTTGGGTGTTCAATACTTAAAGTAGGCGATTTCCCTCTTTTTTTTAAAGACGTTGTTTTCTTAGCCCTAAACTTGGTTGTCAAATTCCAAGTACTCTCCATGGCTTTAGTACCCGAAGTCAAAAGTCGAACGGCCTAGAGGAGATTCATTCATTAAAGTGTCTCGAAATAAGTTAGCAATTTTTTGAACATCATTAACACCTTCGACACTCACTGGTAGGCTAGTCCTAGAATTTAAGTTGTTAGTAGCCTTCCAGAAGCGTTTGAAATGTTTGTCCTATGGTAACCTGCTTAACGTCCATTTTAATTAAATTATTTTGGCACCATTTTAATGCACGTGTAAAAGTTCTCCTACTCTCGTATTTTCGTACAGCGGAGCGGAGCGGAGCGCATCTGAGCGCGTCTATTATGATACATTTTAGTTTGTGATTTGTCCCTCTCACTCCACATAATTTTATTACATTTCGTAGGAGGCGGGGATGACTTTGGTCTTATCACTTCAAAATTACATGTGATTAACATTGGAAAACGATCGGACCATGAAATGCCCTACAGCACATTAATGTCATTCATAAAGGCCTTCTGGAAAAATAAAAGTAACAAAATTTGAATCCCTCATTTTAAGTAATAAGAAATGTGAAAAAGACATATTTTTTAATATAATTAAATAACAGAAATAATTTCCTTCCAATTTCTTTGATTCCAATTCCAATTTTTGATTTCTGAAATAACAAAATTATTTTATTCAATCATATTTATGCTCAAGTTTTATTACGATTAACATATTATCTTAAACAAAATAGCTTACCTGAAATAACAAAAACAACATTTAAAGCCTTTATTTCTAGATTAAATAATATAGTATAACAATTATAGTATTTCTTTTTACAATATTATCCACGTTTTTTCATAACCTATCTTTTACCATCAAATATTTGACATCGACCATAAATCACTCACATGACACTGGCAGCTAATAATGTATGGAGGTTTTATAATAAATGCAATAACAGTAGGTATACCACTATAGTGATATCTTTTACATTAGTATATTCCTCTTTGCATAAGTTATATAAACTAATATATCTTAGTGTGTAAGGGATTTCTTATATGCATATTTTCTTAATCCTATTTTTGTAAAAAGAAGCCGGTTGACAAGATCCTTATATATTTCCGCATCAATTCCCATAGCCACGCTCCGTCAAGGTAAAGAAATATCCGATACTAATAACCTTTTTCCGAAAGGCTGATCAACGCTAAAATTAACTTTTCTCCTGTTAAATCTCTTTTCAAGTGTCAACTGGCCTAGCCAAGTCCACACTAGGCTAAAGACAGAATTCTACAACATTAGCTCTTTTCCTAATGTGATCGGGACAGTTGATATTGATTTCACACATGGAAAGATAGTCTCCTGGTGGGCCACGAGCTGAGCTGTATATGAACGGGAAAGGATCACTTGAGATCCTTTATCTTAGGACAGTTCAAGAAGATAATGGTGCTCTTTCAGTGGTAAAATAAAACCCTTCTGTGTGTACATATTTATTGTTGACTCATTTTAATTGTCAATTACTATTAATAGTAAGTATTTTTAGGTAAATACAAAGAAATGACCATATTAACATGTTTAATTAATCTTTATAAAATACAATATAAACGAATCTTAGAGTCTTTATACACCTTTACGTCGTCTTTTATATTTTCAAATTCATTCTAGTCATCAGGTTAGCGTCACTTCCAGTATCAATCAGTGTTCGTTCTTCGGTTCCTTCTATCTTTACTTTCTTGAATGGTACTTCTTCCTTCTCTTCTTTCAGGACGTGTAACGCCTTTTTATACTTATTTGGATATTCAGGTCCTTTGTGCCGAAATTCGTTACATTTAAAGCACTTGGTTCCTTTGGTGCATGTGGAAGATTGATGGTCCGTGTCACCGCAATTATAGCATCTTTTCTTTGGTGTTTCTTGGCTAGGTGCTATTCGATTTCCTTGCTGTGATGTTGATGGAATTGGTTTTGTTTGCATCTTCTTTCTGAACTCACTATAGATGTCTAGTTTCTTTCTAAATTCCTTAATATCAGCAGCGCCATAGAGTATAACTTTATTTGTTTCCAGGTCTTTGATTCCATCTATAACATATTCCACTAGGGCTGCGTCTTCGACTTTTCCATGTAAAGCGATTTGTTTCATGGCCAAGAGATACTGTTGGTATGTTTCATCGTTTTTCATTTTTCTTGTCGATATTTTTTTGAACCATCGCGCTTTTTAATTTTTGACCGAATTTTTCGTTAAGAGCATGCTTTAAGTTGGAATAGTCCTTAACTCTTCCAATAGATCTTAAAAACAACTTAGCGGTACCTCTCAATCATCTTTTGGCGTAAATCAAATTTTTCAACAGCTGTCCACTTCATTAATTCGGCAACATCCTCAAATTCATCTAAAAATTACGTGATAGGGTAGGGTACGTGTCATCTCCGGTAAAAACATTCATAGACTTCTCTAAGTCTCGGAACGAAATCTGAACGTCGACACCCTCCGGTCCTTCGTCATCTTCTTTATCTTCCTTCTTCTTGGGTGGCATCTTAGTCTTTAAAGAAAGTCGTCGTTGGTCAGTAAAAAATCTAAAAAATCTTTTCGTCTTATTTATTTATTTATTATTGCTTAGAAGATACATTTTACATTATAAAAAGTATAAAATGTCCAACAAAACTGTATACACAGTTTGTCTGTTGGATCAGATCATTTGTCTTATCTGATTATCCGGCTTCTTGCGTCTTAACTCACTGACTTCCAACACTGAGCATCATCCCGGACGAGCCCGCAAATGTTGTGGGATGATTCTTTTAGAAAACAGCGAAAATCTTTAAATAAAATATATTTTTCTTCTAAACAAAAACAAGAGCAAATTTCATTGTCATTTTTTCTTTTTCTTGTCATTTTCTTACCATCGACTATCTTATGGCAACATATAAAACTTCTTACTCGTTATTAAATTAAATCCTTTTTTCCCAGGTATATTTGGTATTATTTGAGGTATAAACAAAGATATTAAATACTTTTAAACAACAATAGGTTTATAGAACGTAATAGGTAAAAAATATATGATTTTACTTATACTTACTTCTGAACTAGTTCTAAAAGAGTATGCCTTTCCTTTTCGATGAAATTCTTCCCTCGTTACGCCATTTTAATCAAGTTTAGTTTTATTTTATTGAAATTGTAACTTGATATTTGAATTTCGCAGAATTGTTTGACAGTTTTTTACAGTCCGTAACTTTTTAAATATTGACATATTTGACGGATAAAAATAAACGATTGAACAAAAAAGAACAGTGTGGCTATGATTCAAAATAAACCGCATGTCAAATCAAAATAATCATGGATTTCTTTTCAGAAACTTAGACTCTTTCTAGAATTATACTCTGATCAACGTTTCAGAAACTCAAATTGATTTGACAGTCATGTTAAATTAATCGCAGTGTTAGTTGATCAATGATTTGACAAGCCTTTCAGAAAACGCGGGTGTAAGCGTTTTGCAAACAAAAATAACTTACTAATTTACTCAGATTTCTTGTTTCTAAAAGATAAAAGATATAATGAATATAGGTTTAAAAATTTACTGCGTGGTGGCTCGGCAACCGGCTGCCGTGTAACGTTGACTACACTGACAACTCTTTGTGTAATATACAAATTGTGGTTTCGGGTCTGGATGCCATGTGTATGTGTGTGAACGGACCCATGACATAGAAGAAAATACAAATGAAGGACGTTTTATAAAAAAAATAAGGATTGAATCATCAATACAAGAGTGTCTTTGTCTTTTTATGTGAAAACATAGAAATTGTGTTGCTGATATGGACTCTATCTATAGTGGACATGCATCTGTAGATCTTATATCATAGAAATTTCACTGTTCCTGCTCATGTAGAGCAGCACCAGCCCAGCCCAGCTAAAATTGTAACCCGAAATCTATAGCGCTTTAAAAGAGTACCTAGCTGGCAGTCTACATGTTTATCTTCAGTTTTGCCCTGAACCTTCACCAAAGGGAAATGAAACATTTAGAATTTTCTAAGTCAAAGTAATGTATTCCAACTAAACCATAAATAGGTACTTCTGAGATGCTAAAATAGAATATTTATCCACTCAAATTCAGTGGACAGCGGTGTGGTATGCAAGCTAGGAGGTGAGGTAAGATTTTAGATGGTTGGGCACTACGCAAGCCAACCAGTGGAGAAATTTTTAATCATGCATAGAGCCTATCGCTATATTGCTTTTCACATAGCCTGGCCAAGTGATATTTCATTTTTAGGCAGGTTCAGTTTTAATCAAGAAAGGAAGTTTCTTACATAAATAAAAGTTTTACGTTCACAATTATAAGCCCTAATTTATTATTCTCATTTTGATTTTAATTTCAATCTTTCAAGAACCGTCCCCACGGATTTGACATTTTTACTGGCGTATCGCCTTGTACTTCAGACGTCGCACACTAAACTCCATCGCCACCTGCCGTTCAGCCTGTATACGTTATCTTTTAGTGGGAACATGTTTCTTCTAGTCTATTTTGTCTATCACCAATTATTATCTCTGTTACATGTACATCCATACTTATAATAAACGTATTTTTTCTGTTAAGTTACTAATTCATATTGTTTTTTAATGATTTCTGTCATTTACTGAACGCTTCCAATCAAATTCAATAGACGTATAATAAATAAGAAACAATCAATTTCTTTTTGTCGTAAAAATATTGTAAAACTAGCTACTCTAGCGCGGTTTCACCCGCTGCTTAGCTCCATCTGATCGTAGCGTGATGTTTTATAGCCTATAGCACTCAGGAACATTGTAGCTATCTATCCGTTTTGGCAATCCGACCAGCGGTTCCAGAGATTACCCCTACATACAAACTTACAAATTTTACCTCTTTATAATATTAGTATAAACTATTTTCATAGTGTAGCTGATACGAGTATAAATATATGTTTTATTCACTTCAAGGAAAAAGGTGATATTTAACTGAATACGAGATTAAGTTGAGGTCCAGACTGAAGTCTAGACCTCAGCTTAATGCCGCATAGTTTTGCCGTATGCTTCGGACACATTTTCAGGATGCACTAGTGCCCTCTCTGTAAATGTACGATGAATTTACGATGCAAGATCTTGACCCTAATACATGAAATGCTTATTACTAGATGGCACCGAATCAAAGTATTTAACGCAAAAGTAGTAAAGTTCAAAATTTAATGCAGTCAATTTCAAATAGTGCGAATATTTTAATACCTAAGAAACTAGACTAATAGAAAATGGTATTTCAGTATTTTAACGATTCATTTAATGGAATTTTGAGAATTGTATCAAATTTATAAATTGTATAATAAAATGTGAATATTTGTTAAAAAAACAAAACTATAACAACTGTGATAGTTAATTAAGAACCTGTTTTTGAACAACCTTGACATGTCAGGTTGGCCGAGTGGTCTAAGGCGCCAGATTTAAGCTCTGGTTCCCAAACGGGAGCGTGGGTTCGAACCCCACACCTGACAATATTTTTGCGACAAAACCGGTTTCATTTATTTGAATGATGTGCGAAGTAGCTGCTATTAACCACTTATTTATACAAGCCAGTTTAGAATTAGAATGTTCACCTCTTCATACCTTCAAAAATATTTCAGTCGATTAACTGTATGTTTTAGGAATCTAAATTCCTAGCTCCAAATTTAAGGGAAAAATTTAAAAAAAGTAGTTGAAAATAAGAAGCAATAAACAACATATTACCTACAATTATTTTATATTTTTATTACGAAAACTTGCATAAAAGCGTGCAAACTTGGACTTTAATAGCTCCAAATAGAAATGTTAATTGTGTAATGTACTACGCAAAAAATAAACCTTTTGGATTAAAAACTTGGTACACAAGTCTACTCATAGTGACTTTGTTGAGCCGTTTTCTTTCTATATCTACATATCGTCCAATGCAGAAGTATCTTTACAATATTATACGGAGAACATTTTTCAAAGTTATGTATTATGTTTTTAAAACATGAGTTTAGTGTTGTGATGAGTTTACATGAATTATCACTCTTTATATTTTTTGATATTTATAGATAATACGAAGTGTTGTAATTTTGTGTTTAGGAAGAAAAAACGTGTTTCATCAAGTTTGTTATTTTTATTGAAGTTTTAGGTAACCTTAGTTACATAGAATAAGAAGAATTTTGAATACTCAAAAGAGAACGCTATAAAGCCAGTATTATTACAACATTCGCTCCCTTAATCAAAATTCTCATAAATAAATATCATATAAAAATGGACACAAATATACCAATTAAAAGAAAATCTTATAAAATGTATACCTACTAGGTACTGAAGTAGGTAAACGTGTAAAATATATTTACACTAAACCTAAACCCAGTACACATCTACTATGTGCGACATGCTGCAATCTTTTGGTTAAGATGTCAGCGGGCATATCACTTGATTTGGTATATTTTAAGTTTACCGAATTATCACTAATCTTTTCCCTAATAAGGTGATATCTGGTATCTATATGTTTCGTCCTATGGTGGTGTACCGGATTTAAGGCCAAACACTGTGCACTCTGACTATCGGTACAAATAGTTACGGTATTAGGTAATAACTTTTGCCTTACCATAGGATCTGAAATTAATTCAGTGATAAACCTGCTTAAATAAATCGCTTCCTTCGTGGCTTCAATTATTGCCATATACTCTGCTTCCACTGAAGACAAAGCTACGGTTTGCTGCTTCCGCGAAGCCCATGAAACCGGACTGCCTGCTAATTTGAAACAGTAACCAGTATAAGAACGGCGATCTATATTACAGTTTGCCCAATCGGCATCGCAAAATCCTACAAGGAGCATACTTGATTTTTTATAACAAATCGAGTAATCTAAAGTGCCTTTTAAATATTGTAAGACTCTCTTCGCGGCTAACCAGTGAGTCTTGTTGTATCTAGTATTGAACTGACTCAGGTAACTAGTCGCGTATGCGATGTCTGGACGAGTATTAACACTCAGGTACATGAGGCAACCAATTAATTCTTGATAGGGATACGCTTCTGAATTATGTTCACTATCAATGCTAGTACTGACCTCCAGTTGTCCAGATAGAGGAGTTGTACAAGTTATACAATTCTCCATTCCAAACTTTTGTAAAAGATTATTTATATAACTTTTCTGATGTACTTTTATTTCATCATTTTTCCTGGTTATA